TGTTGAATTTTAGTATAATACTTATCCTTTACCAATTTATTAGGAATAATCGAAAATTTTCATTTTTCATATATATTTTTCCGACAATTTCTGTTAATTATGGAATTTTCATGGTTATTTTCATATACTTTAACACCTATACTATGCGATTGTACAGTCCTTGTTCATACTTATGTTTGGACCATTTATTTTGGTTCAATATACAATATTCTTGATATAACCAGTGGTTTTTTAGATGGTATACGACATATACCCGTGAACCATCATGGTGAATTTGCATATACTTTATAAAAGTAACACCAATACGTACGTTTACGCACGTATACGCTCGTATACCTACTTCATAAAAAGAAAAAAATCCTTGGGTCATACGTTTATTTTTAAAAAATTTGCTATTCGTAGGTTTATAATAACATTGATAATTGATTATTATTTATAGATATCGATTATTGTTTAACTATATTTTTTAGGTATCAAATTATAATATCTACAAGCGGCCGTTGACGTTTCTATACAAGAATATATTAGATAGTGTGGTCATTGCAGGGGCGGATTCAGAGGGGGGTGAATGAGGCGTTTGCCCACCCCCCTTTCACCGTAGTAGATTTTAGTTTTTGACGTTATTACTTCAAAGTTGAAAAGGGAAATCTAAAACTATTTTTTTTTTTAGACCAAACTTATGCTGTTACTATGTTATCACTTACATTTATTATTTGTTGATATACTGATATCATAGTTATATACTTTTATCATTATGTTAAATAATCGTAACCAAGTTTTGTGTTTGTTGGTGTTTCCGAAACGTGATAACTAATGACGACCAACGTAAAAATCGTTCGGTATCTCTTTAATCAACAAATTTCTAATTCATAAACTCTTTTGTTATGAGCAGTGCTAGGATTTGTATGCAATAAAAGATTGTAAAATATGCATTTTATTTACCAAAATATGCAAAAATATGCATTCAAATTTTTTTAAGATAAACACAAGAATATAGTTAAAAAAAAGCTTTTTTTTTATTGAAATACATCAGTGGTTGGATTTTTTCCTTAACCCTACCAGTGGCGTATCCAGGGGGGGTTATAACCCACCCCCAGAAAATTTTTAGTATATGTATATTGTTTATTGATTATAATAAAAGCACACAAAATTCAAAAAAAATTTAATGTTCCATTTTTTATAACCCCCCAAAAAAAAATTCTGGATACGCCTCTGAACCCTACAATGCATGATTTTTTTATTTTTTAATTTTTATTTGGGTTGTTATATTAGTCCTAATGAATGGAATATTACTAAAAAAAAATTTTGGTATTTTAAGTCTCTAAAAAACCCAATTTTTAGTTTGTTACCTGTGAGCAACACTATGTATTTACGTACAACATAATTATTTATTAAATTCATAAATGTAATTTATTCCTATACCTATCTTGAAAAGTTATATCGTTTATTCATTAAATATAAATATTAGAAAAAAATTATTAACTTACCAATTACAAAACAAATTATACATTTTTAAAAATGTAACTTAATGTAATATAATTGAAAAATAACAAAAAACAGAAATAATTTAAAATAAATTTTATTTTTGATAAAATAACCAAGTTTTATACTTTAATCAGCAGGTCTAGAATTAAATACGAAACATTAATATTAAATAATATTTATTAATAACAAAATATATTGAAAACATCAATTTTTCGAATTCTTATAATCGAAATATGTTATAATATCCATTTTATTCAATATACGCAATAATATACATTATATCTAAAATATACAAAAACATACAAAATAAGAATACCACCATGTATCTCATCATGTGGTGATTCATGAACATAACTGACAAAATCAATAATCAGAAGTCACAAAAAAAAACATTCTGTTGCATACAAATCCTAGCCCTAGTTATGAGAGATATTGGAATAACTAAAAGAAATTATTATTATTTTTATTACAGTAGAACCTCGATTATCTGGGGCAATGGTGGGGAAGAGTCACACGGAAAAATGATAAACACGGTTAATCGAGATTTTTATTAAACGAATTATGAAAAAATTTATAATTTTATATCCATATTAAGAGTGTGTATGATAATATTTTCTCACCGACTGTTTTTGAAACGGCTATAGTAAATGCTAAAAATAAACAAATTAATATGAATCAAATTCGATGGACATGAAAATTTCCCATAAGTAACTGTATATATTAACAATGTTAATAACTATTAAATATTACTATTTTTGTATTGCATAGGTGACACTTAACAGTAGTATGGTACCATCTAACAACCCACGACCCACCCTATAAAAAGGTGTGACCTCTGTAAAACCTTTATATCGTATTCGGTACCACTGCATGTAGTCATGTAACACATTATTTACATTATTTACATAATTTCATATTTAATGATATATGTTGTACAGTTTTAAAGGTATTCAGATATTTCAGTATCATAGAAAAACTATTACTTACTTATCTAAAATAAAAAAATTTGTTTTTCTTATTATCATTAATTTTTATGATGTCCCCTAGATACACAATACATTGTACGCCCTAGGGAACTTGCCTCATATGCCCCATCCCTTCACTTGGGATGGCTATGGATACCACGCACCAACTATGTAAGGTAAAACTAGCTATTGTAATTTTTTATACGTTTCAGACGAGAATTATAGGTGGTGATATAGATAGATCGATGTGGATTTGGCACGAAACTCGGAAACAATTTTATTTGTGTCAGTTTATTGGAAACTTACCTGATTTAAACTTTCGTAATGAAAAAGTTCACATAGAAATGAAAAAAATTTTAAGATATTGGTTAGATAAAGGAATGGATGGTATTCGAATAGATGCATTAAAGCATGTATACGAAAGCGAACAATTGCAAGATGAACCTATGAGAAATCCAGCAGGACCAGAACAATACTGGAATTTTTATCACTATTATACGGTCAATCAAGACGATGTGTATGATTTGATTAAAGATTGGCATTAACTTTTTAATGAGTATAAACAAAAAGATAATTTTACGAGGTAAACATTTTTTTATCCATCTATTAATAGATGGAAGATAGTAATTTTTTAAAATTCGATACTTAAGTCAATTAATTAAATTCTTAGTTCTTAATGCAACACTTACCATTTTAACATTTTATTTATTGAACAGAATTTCATTGTTTCATTAAATTAACAAATTATTACACTAAATATAACATTCATTATAATAATATAATAATTATAAATAAAACAAATGTTGTATTGTTGTGAATTAAGGAGAGTTTGTAATTTGTATCAAATTAAAGATATATAATTTGCACCGCTGCAGGTAGTCGAAAATTTGTAATGTGCAACAAAATGAATATCACTTTGATTGATAATCGATTATTCGATATTATAATCTATTATTCCTCGGTATCCTCGTCGATGTTTAGACCAGACTCGAATGACAATAATGATTTTTCTGGATTTTTTGCCTTATCTGTTAATATTTTGTCGTTTGACGTCAAATTATAAGTGGTATTGTCGTTATATATATATTTATATATCACTTTATTATTTTGATCAAATATTAAGCTAACTGTTTAGTCTTCCCGTTTCATGGTAATAAATATGTATCTATGTTTATTTTATTTAAATTAAAAATTATTATTTCCAAATTATCCCATCTTAATTTAACCGTGATACATAAAATGCAACACATTTGTTTTTATTAATTTTACAAATAACTTTTTGAATTGGCTAACTTTTTTTTATATTCATTATAATAAGATTTTATATAAACTAAAAACAATATATGTATACTCGTAAGTTCAGCTATTTTATAAATATAGACTAAAATAAAGATATATAAGGATTGTAGATATTGTTTATCGAAATCTATAATTTATACAAATAATTTAAAATCATTATGTATTTTAAAATTATATTTTTTTGCCTAAAATAATGAAATTATTAAACTATTATCATACATTATTAAATATTATTATAAGGTAGCTTTGAGATCAATACTTAAGTGTTTTATAGAACTCGGTGTAAGTAATTTAAATAACAGCTCAGAATCAAAAACCTAAAGCTCTGTGTTATTAGTTTCTTATATCCCGATGTATAGCAATTTGTATGTTGGTACTATCTAGATACTATCGAAAAATAATGGATTTTAATTTTATTGTAAATAACAATTCCTATTTCTTACTACCTGAGGGTGGTTCAAATTATATATCATTATTTTAGGGTAGATTACAATCAAATTTCAAACATTTTGGTGCAAATTACACATTTTGTATATATTTTGGGTCAATTTTGGTGTAAATTGACTATAGTTGAATTGAGATGACACAAATTAATTTATCAGAACATGATAATGAAGAAAACTAATATCAGCTAAATGCCTAAATACTTTATACTTTAATTTTAATTTTATTATTTTGCCAAATATGTCGATTTTAAACTCTAAATTCATTGACAAGGCTTATAATTAAAATGTTGAACAATGATAAGCGTGAAATTATTTTGATTTCATTTGTTGGTTGTACTCAAATTATTAAACAATTAAAACAGTGAAAAATAACTTAAGATTATAATTATTATTACACTTATATTCATTATCTTAGGATAATAATGACCGAATCATACAGCTCAAACGATATTTTGTTTAACTATTACTCGAGTAAAGATGAAATACCTACACATTTTAAGTTAATGTCGTATAAACAATCATTGAACCCTAAAATAATTGATAATGAGATAAGAAAATGGATAACAGAAATGCCAAGAACTACAACGTATAATGTAATGGTAAATATGATTCACCTGTTATATTAATAGTAGCTATATTTCTCTCTTTCTCTCTCTTGGATTTACAATTCTTTAAGAATTTTGGCAGCCACCCTTACCGTTTTCCAATAATCACGATTCTGGACTCTATTTTCTCAGTCCGTCACTTCAATCGCTTTTAAGTCCTTCCTTATTCCATCCATCCATCGCTTCCTAGGTCTTCCTCTTGGTCTTTCCCCGTCGAATGCCATTCGATTACTGATCTCTTGAGCAGTGAAGTTATTGCATTAAAAAACTCACTAAATTGATTGCATTATTGTATTGAATTATATTAAAAATTGCATTGAAAAAATTTAATTTTAATCAATAAAATCAAATATATTAATACATAGTAATAATAAAAATTAAATATGAATACTGCTTATATTATACATTATATTTTAGGTTTTCCTAATAGTGATAAGAATAAACCATGGATTGACGTATACCCGAGTTATGTCACGAAAAACGTAGAAGACGAATATAATGACCCTAAAAGTAATTTAAATTTTTTCAAATCAGTCTCGAAACTACGTCACACTGATACATTAAAAAAAGGAGGTTTGGCAACTTACGTCTTCGACCAAGTTTATGTACTGATCAGGTAAACAATTAATAGCAAAATAAAAGCAAATAGGTTAACAATGAAATATTACATATCATTTGGTAGACGGATTATGTTGTATTAATTAAAAAAATGTAATAATTTTGTTAAAGATATCTATCTGGAAATGAGAACTATACATTAATTATGAACATGGGTTCAAGATCACAAACTGTGTGTTTAGCTAATCAAGTTCCTAGATTGTATGGATCATTGACTGTTGTTATTGGATCTGAAAAC